GCGTAGGTCTCGCGGGGAACGGGAAGTCCGCCAACAATACGATTATATCAGACAACGGCTACTCGTTGGCCCGGGTAATGGCGTTTCAAAAATACTACTACATACGTGTATAAAAATAATCAATATAAAAATGTGACTTAATTTAGTGTTTCAGATTGCTAAAATTAAGTTATAATCATATTTAATTTTAGAATTAAGGTTTGCAAAATTATATTAATTTAGAAAAATTAAGTTTAGATAGTTTATTTGCAAAACCACTAACCAATGAATGGGAAAGTCATCCCTAATAACAGATTAGTGGCCAATAAAGGGGATAATAATAAGGATGATGATGATTGTTCGCAATCGGTTTCTGCGGTGTTTTGGTTACTATTAGCGGCAATGAGTTCACTGTTCGTCACTTGACTCGCGTTGCGATTACTGTTAAGGGACAGACTGTTCATACAAACAGTGTTCGCATTACTATTGACCGCATGATAGAGCACTCCTTCCGGGATATGAAATATATTGCATTTCTTATTGTATGGTTGCTCCGCATCCAACACATGTCTCACAAACTTTGCAAACTTATACAATTCAATATCTTTAAATGATTGATATAATTCACGAAACTGTTCTAAATTTGTGTTGAATTTTTGTGACCAACAATTCTCTTCCATTCACCCCAAACTTGTTCTGTAATCAAATCATTTCAATTCAAATAAGTGTTTAGTTTAGCATTAAATACTACTTTGAACCCAATTCTACGTAAAGACAGGCAATGAATGCATTGAAATGATTGCAAACATTGCAAATCCTTGTATCATATGATATGACGTCTATTGCATTGAAATACTAATTGTCTGCATAATAGAGGTCCACAACCATCACATCCAACACAACTATTGCATCTGCCATTCGCTATCACTTTATATCTATAGTCAGTCTTAAGGACCTAATCATATGGTGTTAATTGTCTTTTTTTATCTCTTATGACTATTACTGTCACTTAGTTTCACAAAACCAAGAGAAGTATAAAAGTGCGCAAACTATGAAATATTTAGATTACAATACCTATCGGATTGAAATCACACATATATGGTGGTAATCTTAATGGATAACAGTTGAACTCTTTTATTATTTCATCGACATAACGATATGATTGTCTGATTCTATAAGAAATATAATTAAAATTAGTCCATTAGTTCATTCAAATATCGCAATATTATGTGTGAAAGACATGAATATAACTATTAATCAGTTTTATTACTTATTACCGAATCAACCAAACTCACCAAGGTTATTGTGACTATAGCTATGATTCCGTACAACACTTGTATGAGATTCAGTCGATCCCTACGACTGACATAACCTACTTACTTGGTTAACTTTCTCTAATAGTTCAACTTTGGTTAGGTTCTGCTCATATTGAATGCCATTGCTGTTCAACCACTCAATGATTGTCTTCTTTGTTGATGACTTTGTGGGAGTTTTATTGTATTGACGGCAATGAATGGAACAGTTATCAAATGTGACAATTCTCAACATCTCTCCTGGGACACAAATATAAATATTAATATATCATTAATATATTCATAGTCTCTCATATCACCGTTAATCTCATTTTTGTATACTATTTTTGCGCCGTTTTCCACGAGACCATCGATTGTCATCGCATGTATGGCCGTAAAGCGAGCACCGGGTCCACACGTCTTGTTCATTTTTTGTACTTTATTTTGATCTTTTGGTTGTAATATCTTTTTGTTGGTGTAATTCTTGTGTATCACTGATTCGTCTAAAAAACAATTCTCAGTTGTTGTACCATTCGTTGCATTTTCGTCTAATCTAAGTTTTTCTATTAAAAACTTTTTTATTAATTGTTCAATTCGTTGCGTTTTTATTATTTCCTCTTATTATTTTCTTAGAATCTGTAATAATGAATATAATTATTTTTATTCTAAATATATTAAATATTAAGTTATTTTTGTTATTTAGGGTAATATTATATCCACCATATGTGGTAATACTATGAATAATACTCGCTTTTTAGTTTGCAAAAAGTTATGTAAGGATACAGAGGTCAGAGGTCCTGTTTAACTATATATCCCATACATAAACTTTTCGAAAACTAAATAACAAGTATTTTGCATAGTATTACCACATATTAAATACATTTAATTATTTATACCTTTATAAGTATAACACATTTTATGAATTAATTTATAAAATTTTGTTTCACAACATTTTTTGAATAATAATTCAATGTCAGAATTTGCTTGCACATAACGATAGATATCTCTAATTAAAACACAATAATTAAATTTCTTATTTAAGTCACAAATAATATTGTCAATCACATCGTAATCATCATGACAAAAGTTAAACTTTTTGGGTGTTATTTGTTTTGAGCGGATGTTTAATGTTATCTCTTTGCTTGCAAATATTCCAAAAAGTCGACTCAACTATTCTAAATGTTTCACAAATGTCTGCAATTATGTCTTTGGATTTAATATATATTAAATTGCTTTCTTTTAAATGTTTTTGTTTTAGTTTCTCTTTTTTGTATTTTTCAACGATTGCCACTTTACTTCTGTACTCAATATATTGTCCACTCATTGTAGAAATTAATTAATTGGCCACAAATCACACCAAGACAATTCATATACCAGTTGTCGTAACTTTTCTCTATCACTGACACTACGGCACTGTTTGACGCTTTGGACACAACAAGACATTAATCAATTGAATGGTCGATACAAATGAGTGTCAAATACATACAAATAATCGTTTGGATCTCTTTGGGATGTGCTTGAGATTTGTTTGTCAGCCATTATTGCCATCAAATGATTGTTGCATTGCTTTCAGTCACTGTTCACTCCATTAAATGCACAAAATATCATCAATCAGATCCATCCGTAATGCAGTGGCGATATTGTCTGACACATAATCATATGCAAGAGATCGACGACAACACCAATCATTGGTCGAAATGGCCGACCGTTTGTCGCACTCCACGCAAACCCTTCCGGCTCTTGAGGTCACACCACTGATGCAACTGTCAAACGGATCCACGCTATCGATGTTCACGTATTCTTCGCGTGTCTGTCTGTCTGTCACTGTGTGTGTCTCGTGATGGTGCGGTCGACTGCGATGGCAATGCAGTCACTGGTGAGTTGGTTGGCGTGTCTATGCGGGGCGTGTGTCTCGTGTGGATGCCTTCTGCGGGAGTGATGTGTGAATCGTTGGCCACAAAAGTGCTTGTGTTGTGTCTGTTGTGACTGTAATATGCTTTGTGTTCGCAATAAGTATTCACACAAATGAATGTCTTTATGAGAGCTAATAATTCTGGACTCAATTCTTGCAATCTTTGGATCTATGGGTACGTCATAAGTGAATACATTGTCCCAAATAAATACATTGTCTTAATGTAAACCTCAATTTGGAGTCAATCTATGCATCAAATGATACCACTGTTAGTGAATCCATTTATAAACACATATATCATTGAATGAGTAAAACCTGAGTAACTCTAAGACAATAACAAATGATAAATCAAAACACATTTCACAATATATTACCGCTAAAATAGTTTCAAAAACTTTTGCAGTAAAAAGCATTCATACATTATGTTACAATTTTAGACGTGTAAACATAAACCGGAACGATATTTGTGAAGAGCATATTTTCAATCCACTCTATTTACAAAAGGCAACGGGTTTATGTCTTCATTTGTTTTGTCACTGAATTGTTGTTTAGTAATTTATTTCAAAGTTTGACCAACATTTCTCATTGAAATTACACGGGGATTTTGCGCCATTTTACATAATTTACTTTTAACTCACTAAATCTTTATATAACTGTATCTTGGTCATTTTATTGCGATTTTTAAAATTCCAGCATCAATCTATTTGTCTTAAAGTGCACTTTTTATGATGTTATTAATTTTTAAAATTTAACAAAAATGTTTCTAATTTTTAACCATACGTCTTAGAACAAATCTGAATAGGGAACTGGCAAATTCACCTAAACTTAAATAACTTAATGACCAATAGACTTTTGACCATTGTAAGGATAGGTAAGGTTAGGTTAGGTCAAGAGGAACTTTTTACACTGGTCATCAGGTATATTTACCTGCTGGTCATTAAGTTATTTAAGTTTAGGTCAATTGGTTTTTAGGTCAATAGACCCGCACCCTCTGAATACCACATTCGAAAGAGCACAATAAACTAGGCGAGATAAGAATTTAAAATTTAAATTAAATTGCTGCAAATTAGGTGCATAAATAAATATTAGAATTTTGTTTTAATTAACATTTTAACATTAAAATATATAATAACTTTCAAAACATACTTAATCATACTGAGTTTGAAATGAAATAATTGGTACTGAAACACTTTTTATTAATTGTTTCGTCATTTTATTGTAACGTGATATATTGAACATTAGTTAATAATAACACGATTAAAATAAACAGTAAAAACAATTGTTATTAATTATATATTAAACTTTATAAATATATGATATAAACACTAAATAGTTAACAGAATTTTTAACACGAATAGTTTTTAAAATGCTTTATTTACTCATTTAAATTTAAATACAAATTTTGAATTGTTAGGAACACTAAAATTATATATTAAATTTGGACATAAAATTTAATTTTACTTTTATAAAATTGAACGCGTTAATTGTTGTAATGAGCACAGTTTATTTTAATTTCAGTTGCTTTGTAGCGGAAGTGATGTCAGCATAATTATGATGATAATCAAGGTATCTTACTAGGCAGCTGTACCCTCCAGCAGTTTCATTATTGGCACCACCGGTGGTATTAGTTAAGACCGCATAGTCCTTAAACATATCTAACTCAACTTTTCCCAAATCTATGCCTTTTACGGGATGGCTTGAATCTAAAGTGATAAAGGTCATTTTGGTAACATTTCTTTAACCATTAAGTTAAGATATTAATCTTTTACAAAATATTTAATTATTAAATATTAAGAGAAATTTAATAACGAGGCGTTCAATAAGTACGTAAATACAGTATTGTTGCAAAGGTTGGCTTTGATCATAGTCACGCGGAATTTATAAATTATTGATATTTGTTTAATAACTTACACCCTTGATTATCTATTATCAAGAATGGGATATCGTCCTTGAAGAAGTTGACCGAGAGCATTTCATCATTGCGCTCTGGAACTGCTGAACTAAAAACAAGATCGTAACTGCACTCAATTCCAAGCCAATCACCAACTTTATAACCGTCGCAATCATCGATATAGACTTTATCGCCCGAAAGTTTTGAAATGCGATACAAAAAGGTTGAAACCTGTCCTGGTTAATATATTAATTATTGATATATTACCTACAATATTGTAAGTAGAATTAATTCATGTGATACTTACTTGCGCTACTTTCGCATGCTACTGCAACTAAAACAATAGCTAAAGTTACAAATAATTTACTCATATTGTAGCCTGTTAATTGAATTTTTCAAACAAATTGTTAATTCAATATTAAATTATGAAAAATGCAATTAGTGGAAACTCATATTTATATGAAATGAAAAGGATATTGCCAGTTTTAATACCGGACTTTCAGTCTTTGAATGCATGCAATTTTGGCTTACACCTGAAATAATTTAATTTAATCTTAAGGATTGTTAATAGGATATTCTCGTAATATTATGAGCTAAACACGTATATAATTTAACCTACGTATCCACGGTATACGTATATAATTTGATATCAAAAGATATAAAGTAAACAAACTTATGAACATCAATGCTGAAAGATTACTAATCTATAAAATTCAAATTCATAAGCTCTGTGTACTTGTGTACTTGTGTTTGTGTACTTTATACATTAAGACAATACAGTCTCGCCCGGTCCACTGTATTTACACAAAAAATGATAACTTAAATACTGACCATAATTAATGGACATTAAACTAGAAAGTAGTGCATATGTAGTATGCGGTAGTATCTGCATAAATTAATATAGATAATTATTATATATGGTTGCTTATACTATAACAGCCGTTTGGATTATATAAGTCACCTTGTTTGAAGTAATAAATTAATAAATTACTTGTAAAACAAATCAATTTTAACTTTATTAAAGTGTTAAATTGTTTATATTATTTTTAAAAAATATATAGCAAAGTGTTAGGTTTGAAATCAATATTATAAACACATAAACATGTGATTATTTTAGAGTATATTAATATATTTAAAGGAATAATATTTGTTTTTAAAATTTAAATTAAATTGCTGCAAATTAGGTGCATAAATAAATATTAGAATTTTGTTTTAATTAATTAAAATTTTATTTTAACTATAAAATACAAAAATAATTATAATTAATTTAATAAAATTACAAATTTTTATATTAATTAACATTTTAACATTAAAATATATATAATAACTTTCAAAACATACTTAATCATGCTGAGTTTGAAATGAAATAATTGGTACTGAAACACTTTTTATTAATTGTTTCGTCATTTTATTGTAATGTGATATATTGAACGTTAGTTAATAATAACACGATTAAAATAAACAGTAAAAACTATTATTAATTATATATTAAACTTTATAAATATATGATATAAACGCTAAATTATTAACCGGATTTTATAACACGAATAGTTTTAAAATGCTTTATTTATTCATGTAAATTTAAATACAAATTTTGAATTGTAGCAACACTAAAATTATATATTAAATTTGGACATAAAATTTAATTTTACTTTTATAAAATTGAACGCGTTAATTGTTGTAATGAGCACAGTTTATTTTAATTTCAGTTGCTTTCTATCGGCATCGATGTAACCAGAATTACCATGATAATCAATTAATTCTACTGTGCAGGTGTACCATCCAGCAGTTTCGTTATTGGCACCACCGGTGTAATTAGTAATGACCACATAGTCCATCAATGGACCCACCTCAGTTTCTTGCGCGTCTATACCTTTTACAGGATAGCGTTCATCTAAAGTGATAAAGGTGATTTTAATAATTTTTTTTAACTATTTAGATATTACTCCTTTTTACAAAATTATAGTAACAACAATATAATTATTAAATATTATTAGCAATTTAATTAAATAGAAAATTTTCGTAGCATATTGGTTTATGGTTTAAACAATGTAATACCATAAAAGTATTTTTTTTTCATAACTCACACTTTTGGGGACCAAATGATCTCAAGAATAGGTAATTGTCCTTGAAGAAGGTGACCGATTCAATTTTATCATCGTGCTCTGGGGCTGATGAATCATAAACTATTTCGTGACGGCAACCAATTCCAAGCCAATCACCAGCTTTATAACCATCGCAAACATCGATACCGTATTTATTGCCCGAAAGTTTTGAAATGCCGTACAAATAGGTTTCAACCTTTCCTAGTTAATATATTATTGATATATTACCTACAATATTGTAAGTAGAATTAATTCATGTGATACTTACTTGCGCTACTTTCGCATGCTACTGCAACTAAAACAATAGCTAAAGTTACAAATAATTTACTCATATTATAGCCTGTTAATTGAATTTTTCAAACGAATTGTTAATTCAATATTAAATTATGAAAAATGCAATTAGTGGAAACTCATATTTATATGAAATGAAAAGGATATTGCTAGTTTTAATACAGGACTTTCAGTCTTTGAATGCATGCAATTTTGGCTTACACCTGAAATATTAGGTTTTCCAGAAAGTTTTGCGAGGTTAATTTTGAAGCTTAAAAATCAATATTTCAATAACCAATAGTGGTATCATAAATATTTTTGAACCTCAACTATGGTTTTTGCTCTCATGTATTCTCCCGAAGAGACCAGTGGATTAGAGCACCGGTAGCTCGACACAGGTAGCTTTTATGTACAG